CTGTCAATATTATTTCATTCACCTGGGGTCAAGAGTGGCAACATAGCAAGGTTTTGTGTCCCAAAGAGTTTTGCCGAAAAATCCCACATTTGGAAAATTTTCGAATCAAACAAAGTGGTGGGTAGTGGGTAATTGTCCAAGTATCATTTTGGTGAAACTTGGGGTCAAGTTAGGGAAGGAACAAGAAGTATTGAAACCTTGCTGGTGACCGTCCGGTGCCAAAAACAAAATTGCCGGCTACTGGTGGCCGAGTTGGAGGAATTATACATGACCCCACACTACATGATTCACATCTGACTTGCTTTAGTTTTGAATCAACAAAAGCAATTCAATTTGATTGGCCCAAATGGTTCATCTAGATCTGTGTTTAAGATCATTTCTTGCCTGTTCCGATGGAGACTTGCTATATATTTTCAACATCTATTTGCGTAAGTGAAAATGATGTGGCGTGGAACGAGTGTAATCCACCATCAGACCTGGAGAAAGAACAAAATAAAAGAAAAAATGCCGAAACAAGAAAAAATAAAAGAACAAAATAAGAAAAAAAAATCAAACAAAGATTAAAAGAACAAACAAAACTATAAAACACAAAAGTGAATATGAAAAAAAAAACATGCATCAAACACAGACACAAAATCGAACAAAAAAAATACTAAACATAGATGCAAAATTTTAACAGATAAAAAAGAACAAATAATTTGAAAGCATATATTTATATACACATATATAAATTCTAAATAAAAAATTTTTAAACTTGACAGAGATATCAAAACATACCAAAAATAATAAAAATTTATATAACAAATATGAAATTAAACATATAATTAAATTAAAAAATAATAATGATCTGTATTTCACTAGAAAAATTTATATTAAAAAAGTGTTTTTGTGAGTGCATAAAATAAAATAGAGAATGATACCCTAATTANAAAAAAAAAAAAAAAAGATTTGGTCCCTTCAAAAACATAAAGAAGATAGATAAAAAATTTTATGAATCTATTTTAAAAATAATCTAAAATATTAATCGAAATATACTAAAATATCTTAAAACAGCTAAAAATATTTTAAAATATTGGCAAAAATATAACGAATCATTTGAAAACAATACCTTCAAACATTGCGAATCATTACAATTTTAATTTAATCACTTTTTGATCTTTATTAGAAACGAAAATATTTTACTTTTTTTGACTGTTTCAAAACATTTTTGTCTCAAAGTCCCAAGGAAGAAAATCCCTTCCTCCTTTTCTCTTATGCCACTCCTCTGTACGACGTCTTTTTATTGTTTTGGTTTATTTGGTTAGAGGATATGTCTTTGAACCATTTCAGAAACAGTAAAAAAAAATAGAAGATTGGTCAAAATATCTCGAAACACTCAAGAACATCAATTCAATATTCAATGTCACTTATTCATTTCAATTTCTACTAAAACCGATATATTTCCGTTATTTTAATAAGAATAAAACAAAATTTTGATATTTACAAACAACACAAACGACATTATTACTCCAACATTGGCCAAAACCTTAGAAACATAAAAACTTCAATATTTAATGTTACCATTTCGTTTCAATTTTCATTGAAACCGAGGTATTTGTAATTTCGGTGGGAATAATACATAATTTTGATCCTAGCAAGCATCAAGAAAAAACGAAACAATCGCTAGCAATGCTTACTAACAAATGCTACTATTACTTGGTAAGAAAACTACAAAGATTTCGTAAGAAACAGGTATTGAATTGATTTGGAGCTGCCACCGACAATTAGAGAGGAGAATAAGCAAACCAGAGATCAACCATGGCTAGATATTCTTTAGGTTTGTACTCTGGACCTGTATGACCCGCACCCTATACAAAGTATGAGGACATAATTAAATTCAATTTTGCACTTTGTGCATCCATAACATGAGAAAAAAAGTAAGCACAAGATTTCATGCCTTTGCAGTTGCATACATCAGCGAGTAGTCNTATTACTTGGTAAGAAAGCTACAAAGATTTCATAAGAAACAGTTATTGAATTGATTTGGAGATGCCACCGGCAATTAGAGAGGAGAAAAAGCAAACCACCGATCAACCATGGCTAGATATTCTTTAGGTTTATGTTCTGGACCTGTATGACCCGCTCCCTATACAAAGTATGAGGACATAATTAAATTCAATTTTGCACTTGGTGGATCCATAACTTGAGAAAAAAATTAAGCACAAGATTTCATGCCTTTGCTGTTGCATATGTCAGCGAGTAGTCGTTGTGTATATAGGATTCTGTATATCTGTATAAAATAATAATGCCACAGCACATCAACATTATAATCAATTGTAAGCTCAAATTTACGTTGCAAAATATGTTTAGTAGTTTAGGAACCCACCCTGCTACTTGACCTTCAACAAACCACGGCTCCCAATCACTTTCGACGGTCAGATTTAAAGAACGTATCCATTTCTCTGTACCCAGATGTGGAACCACCATGTCATGATCGCCGCTTTTGGAAGATAAAAACTTGAGTTAGAATAATAAGATTTTTCTTTTTCTTTTTTGAGGGGGTGGGTGGACATTATTAGGGTGTATGACCATAGTTTTTGGTTCGTTCAAACCATAGGAATGCAATACTACGAATGAAATTCTATTAGTATGACTAAGATTTCTAGTATTCAATTGCAAGTTCCATTTAGTTTATGTTTTCGGAAAGGATTGTACTATTGGCTCCTAATAGATGAACTTTGTAGTGGATGACAACAGAAACATGAATAAAGACGGTTCTGGGATAGAATTACCTGGCAATTAAAGCTCGACACTTTTTGTTTGTTAGATTTCGATGATAGTCAACAGAACTAGGGACATTGAATGTGTAAGACANACACTCCGGCGCCCTTCTAACTTGTTCTTCTTTGTTCTAGGATCCTCTTTCAGCCTCACGGGATCGTTCTTCCGCTCCCCCAGGGTCTCCCGTTGCCGTTCC